TCTAACTCACTCCAGAATCTCTCCTTCTCTTCTAACTCACCCCCTACTTGTGGAACATAACCACTGACTACATTCAACACTACTCCTTCAATTTCCAACTTCAGACTGATCACCCTGTCTGACACTCTTTTCACCTCTAAAACATTCCTCACCAGCTCCTCCTTCAGGATCACTCCTACCCCATTTCTCTTCCTGTCCACACCATAATAAAACAGTTTGTATCCCCCTCCAATGCTACGTGCTTTGCTACCCTTCCACCTGGTCTCCTGCACACACAGTATATCTACCTTCCTTCTCTCCATCATGTCCACCAGCTTTCTACCTTTCCTTGTCATTGTGCCAACGTTAAGAGTCCCTATTGTCAGACCTATACTCCTGCCTTTCCTCTTCTCTCTTTGTCTACGAATCCTTCTACCTCCTCTCCTTCTTCGACCAACAGTAGCCTACCTATTATTATTATTTATTATTTTATTTTTTCAAAGAATGGAAGCTGTAACTAGCCTGGAGCCGCCAGGCGGCGCTCTGACAGCTTCTTCTCTGCAGAAAGTTGAAGCCGGAAGCTGCTCTAGGTGTTGGGGCGATAATATGGCGGGGTTGTGCCAGCAGTCTCCAGCTCCAGGGTTGGGCTCCGGTTCAACTCCTGCAGGGTCATCAGAAGCCTCTTCAGTTCAGATTCAAACGTGGCCTCCGACAGTGACCAGTTTGCTGCGGACAGACCCAGATCCGGCTTCGCTGCCGCCTTCGACCTGCAGTCAGAGCTCCGACAGGAGGCAGATTCCACCGCGAAGGCCCAAAATGAAAGCTTCGCCTCGCTTCTTCGCCGGTGCCCGCTGATCCAGATGGGTCCGGCCAAGGACAAAGTGGTGATCGGGAGGATCTTCCATGTGGTCCAGGACGATCTATACATCGACTTCGGCGGGAAGTTCCACTGTGTGTGCCAGCGGCCGGTGGACGGAAAGAAGCTACAGCGGGGCAGCAGTGTCCGTCTGCGGCTGCAGGACCTGGAGCTCACCTCTCGATTCCTGGGAGCAAACACCGACACCACGCTGCTGGAAGCCCAGGCCGTACTGCTGGGCCCGCTGGAAGCACGGGACCGACGGGAGAACCAGTACCGGGACTGAACGGACATAGGCGGCCAGGCCATGTTAACGTAAAATCTGTGGTTTTCTAAAGGGAGCCTGGCAGCGGTAGTACGGAGTTTAAGGAATGAACTTTAAACTGGAGAAAGGAAACCTGGGCGGATGTTTCCACAGTGTCTGTTCACAGATTCTGATGTGTGATTGTGATTAAGTTTCACTCTGATCTAGAAACTCATCAGAAATGTGATGTTTCACTTTGGACTCTAGGCTACAGATGTGATCTGTCTGGAGCAGCCCAGATGTTAGGATCAGCTAAAATAAACACAATGAAAACAGTTCTTGATTATTCCTCCACAAAGGGCCAAGCTTCACTTTACGCTTTTCACATAACACTTCACAAACTGTCCATGAAATTTGGATTAAATCATAACTACTTAAAACATTAAGATGTTTGTTTTGTGTTTGTTTTTTCTTGGTGAGAACATGCTTTCAAATACTTAGGCCCTATAATGTAGCCCAGTACAACACCTCCTTTAACTATGACATCAGTAATAAACATATAATTGAATGTATGTAAACTATTGTGTAAGACTTGACTCTGTCAGGAAAACAAGTCTCAGAGTGAAAGTTAAGTTATATAAACTGAGTTGCTTCTGCATAGAAGTACTAGAACATGTGTGCACCTCATTTGTTGAGCTTTAGGTCTAAGATGAGAATTCACGGTTGTAACATTGTAGATAAGTCAGAAAACAAGGAAAAGCACTGTGGGCTCTTTAAACAGAAGCTGAAGGAGAAGTGGCAGGAAGAAAGAAAAGGATGGTGGTTTAATGGGATTCAAAGGATAGTAAAAGATGAGAGGGATATTATCAAGGCTGAGATTTGGACATACTGGGCTTCAATATATGGAAGCATAATACAGGCCAGTGTTGATATTGAAGAGGCATTAGAACATATCATGTTACACTGTCAGAAATACACAAAGAAGAGATCTAATGCAAAACCTCAGAAAGAAAAAAGGGAATTATAAGCCAATAGATATCTTAGGAAAACACTCAGGAGATGAATGGTACCCGTTTTTGTTTCAGCACCTTAGAACAAGTACGCTAGCTGAGAGAATATGATTTTTAAAAAATGTATTGTTATTGATTTAGTTTTTAAAAAACATTTTATACAGGCCTCTTGATCCCACCAGTTGGTGGCGGTAATGCACCATTTCGTTGCCAACCGCCATAAAACCCGAAGAAGAAGAAGAAGAAGAAGCAGCGCGTCATGAGAAGCTGTAGTACCTGACACGGTCACCATGGTCTGGGTTAAGCCCGGCTCTGTCACACTTTGACTACTTTGTGGTCCACATGTTAAGACCGATCCTCCAGAGGTTCCGGCCGCTCAGCGGACCGCCGGGCCTCCCCTTTGTCCGCTCAGTTCGCTACTTCAGCGTCTTCCCTCCGGAGCTGCCCGCCGCCAAAGTCCGCAGCATCTTCCTGGATTTCTTCCAGCAGAAACACGGACACCTGCTGGTGCAGTCCTCCCCGGTCCGTCCCAGAGGAGACCCCAGCCTGCTCTTCGTCAACGCCGGCATGAACCAGGTCAGTGGAGATCCGGTCCGGTCCGGTCCGGTCTAGTATACCTGAGGAAAACTAGCGTTGTTAGCTAACGAGTTCTGTGAATGCTGATTAGACATCACCTTAAAGCCTGAGCGCGGTTTAGTCCTCTTTCAGGTTTGTGAGAACGTTGTTTTATTTATTAAAGCAGAGTGTTTGCTCCATGCAGACCACATCAGTCCAGGTCTAGCTTTAAAACCAGCACATCTACATCTGATCTGGATGCGATGAACAGGTGGACTCTAACTTTAACGGTCGTTTATACAAAACCAAACGAAAGGAAAATATATTGGCTGTGTACAGACGAACCTAGTGTTCAGTTGGTCTGATTAGTCCTTTTCCACGTACTGATGTGCACTCAAAGTGCTTTACACCATTTCCCATCCACACACACACTGGTGACATCTCCGGGGGCAGCCAGGGGTTCGGTGTCTTGCTCAAGGACACTTCGACTTGTGGGCTGGGGATTGAACCCGCGCCACTACCTGACCCACAGCCGCTCCTAAGCATAACACCCGAGAGGCCACTGGTGCACTGGTAACATGTCAGACCAGTCGGCCAGGAAGTGCTCTTGTAGACCAGATAAGAGATTTATAGTCTGTGTTCGGTTCAGC